GAAGCCTCCTCAGTGGCAAGCTCAAGTCCAGAGTCATCCAAATTGGTATGCCAAGATGTGCCTTCATGTTTCTATTGACACTGACCTATCTTTACTGCTACTTCCTCGAGGGCCCTGAAGCTATTCATTTGGAATCCATCCTTGGTGCCCAATACACAGCTGACCTCCCCACAGCCTTCACCAGTGAGTCCTTGGATTTCCAGTTCTACACTTTGCCCACATGGCTCTGATGTGAATGGATTCCAGTTCCTGTCATGAACCCTCTTGGAAATCTCTTGTGGCCTGTGGTCCTCAGTGATACAAGCTCAGGACCAGCTTGCCTTCAAGGGATATGGGCAAGATTCCAAGAAGAAAGTGCTGAGAAACTCAGTTCTTCTGCCGGTCATAGACATGGCTGGAAGTTCTCAGTGTCACTGGTCTGCAGCCATCCTATGGCCCATGTTTGAGAAGAAGAAACACAGCTCCCAGCTCAGCCCCTCTGTTTGTGAAGGGAACCCTAAGATTCTCCGTGTTCCCAGCAGAGGGCGCACTGAGGCTGTGCAGTTTGGAGAGGTGGCACCACTTGGTGCAGGGTTCCTCAGGGTAGAAACAGACCACTCTGTTCTCACCTTCTCAGCAGATAGCTGGCCTCAGACCCCTGCTCTGCCACTTACTAGCCAGTAACCCAGAGCAAGTTGCTTCTTTGTGCCTCTGAAAAAGTTGTGTGTTAAAATCCACCTATAGGATAAAAGGTCATTTTTGAGTATTGAGTCGCTTGGTATTTTTAAGTGTTCAACACAGTGTCAGCTTTCCACTAACTGCCCCACAGCTAATAAACCACTACTGCCTCTATTTTTTTAGAAGAAGCATTTCATTACAGCTTTAACATATTAGTAACAATTTCCAGAGCAAGGTTGCTTTCAAAAGTGGATGTAAATGTTTAGGTTCACATACGGTTATATAATACTGAACTCAGTATAAACCCTACAAATTTCATGATTTCATCTTTCTTTACTGCTGTGTAGAACTCCATCATATAAATGAACCACATTTTCATTATCCACTTGTCAGTTGAGGGACACTTAGGTTGCTTCTATCTCTTAGCCAGGGAAGGCCTCTTATTTTTTAATTTTTTGAGACACAATCTCATGTAGCTGAGGCTGACCTCAAACTTGCTCTGTAACTGAAGATGAACTGATCCTCCTGCCTTTACCTCTCAAGTGCTGGAATTACAGGTTTATGTCAGCACACTTTTATGTGCTAGGGATGGAACCCAAGGCTTGTGCGTGCTAGGCAAGTATTATACCCACTGAACCTAGATCACCACCTCTGCAATTGCTTTTTAGCATCATACACATGCACATGGGCAGCTGCCTCTCTGTGTCCTGGTGCCCTGCCCTTGTTGGCCTATGAGCAAGAGCTCACACTGCACTGCCCCATGATGGCCTCTTCAAGGATACTGAGGTTCAATCTGGATAGGTTGTCTCAGACTAACAAGAAAAGACCTAAGCTTCAGAGTCCAGAACTTTCCATGCTGGTCTTAGGCAGGTCCCTACACCCCTCCTTGGGCTTCCATTTCCTTAGGACAAATGAACTCTAGGTTGCTTACTGCAGACCTCTCAAGCTTGGTCAGGCTGCGTCCACACCTGTCAGGTTTGCCTTCTGCAAGTAAGTGGGCCAGTCTGGGGTGCCCTTCTCTGGAGGATGGTACATGGGTTTCCTCCCAGGCCTCTTCTGGGAAGTGTTTGAGCAGTTGGCACTAACCCCAAGCCTTGTAGGAGTTCCTGTGGAGTCGCCCTGCCTCTCCTCTAGGCCTCAGTGAACAGTACCTCATATCCCCACAAGATGGCAAGGCCTCATGTCCTCTCTGAGTACAGTCTAGCAGTTTCAGTCCTCTAGACTCCTAGGGACTTGGAATTGAGGGAGGTCAGAAAGGGTTGGAGTCACTCTGGCAGGACCCAAGACCTTCCCAGTGACCTACCTACCACCACCTCTGCCCACAGGGATCTCCTAGCCTCCACTCCAGCCCTGGACTCCGTCTCCAGGATTCCCCAGCACTGGAGCATTTGTGCTGGTCTCCAGGGACTAACCATCTGTGTTCCCAGAGTTCATAGTCCAGGCTTAGCCAACTCTCACATGAACACATGCAAACACACACATAAATACATGCCTGCATATGCCCAGAGCCCAGCTGCAAGGGCAAGCAGGGCCATAGATTAGCCAAAAGGCAAACAAGGTTTCTCTGCCTTTGGTGTAGAAGAGCTGAGCAGTTTTTTGCTTCTGTGTTTAGTGCCTTTAGCTGAGGGCCAGCAGCTGGCCTGTGAGGAGCCAGAGGGAGAGAGGATATTCCAGGCTCACCCCAGGGAGCTGTGATACCTCTGTTCATGAGTGTAAACAGCTGGGGTCAGGCTGATCAGGAATTTACACACACCCAGGCTTATGACTATTCCCACATGCCCCCCACCTGTCCTGATGAATCCGTAGTAAGCTAAGCCTGGAGGTGTCAGCTGCTCTATCCCCTGATCACCCCTAGCGCATGTTCCGTTCTCCTAATGTCCCATGCTCACCCTGGGGAGCTGGACCCTGGGATACAGCCTTCTGTCCTCCACCCACATCTTCCTCAAAGAGCCTGGTCTTAGATGCTAATGTGTGCAGTAATTCTAACTTGTGGCAAAAATGCACACCCATGTGACCATTCCAAGAGGGCCCCATTGCACCCGTTGCCCAGGGCACCTGCATGGTGAAGATGAGCAAAGAGCCTTTCCAGTCACCCTAGAGGCACAGGGTGACATCTCTCTGGCCTGGATTACATCTCAATGACCTGGTGTGCAGGGGAGATGAGCATGAGGCTAGACAACTTGCTGGGAAATTAGCTGGAGAGTCCCTCCAAGCCTCTGGGATCAGCTATGAGGAGGGCCTAAACAATGGAGGTGCTAAGGAGAGGAGTGAGGGAGCCACCCTTGTCGGCCCCCGCCATGCCTCCCGCTTATAGTGCTAGAGACAAGAAGAGGCTCTGGGCATCTGTGAGAAATAGTAGGGCCCGCCCTAGGAGTTCTGAGTCACCTTTTTTCCCAGAAATTTTCTTCATCCTTTTCTCCTTTACCTTGTGGGGAACAAAACCATCAGGCTAAGAGAGTCTGGGCTTCTGGGTTTTAATGAAGAGGTAGGGGAAGGAAATTCCTTTCTTGCTCTGCAGGCACTTGCCTCTCAAGCCTTCATATCTGACCCAGGGGCTCTGTGACACCTCAGCTAAGAAACCTGAAATCTAAAGTGCTTTTAAATTCCTAGGCCTCCTTCCCCTAAAGCAAAGGCCTGCTCTGTGGCCCACATTCTGGCTGCTGAAGCATGTCCAGCTCAGGCTGGACTGGCAGCCAGGGTCAGTTGTTTTCTAGGGATCCAAAGCTCAGCCTAAAGAGGCTGTATCCCAGACTAAGCCCATGCAGCCACTTGGGTGTTTACTAAATGGTGAGTGAATGCTAGATGAGCAAGCGTATAAATGCTGGCAGGCCATGAGAGGCTTGGATGTGAAGCCTGCTGCCTCTGCAGCTAAGTCTCAGGTGGGATGGCCCTTACCCAACAGCAGCCCTCTGTGAAGCATCTCTACAAGGAAGCCTTCATGCCTCCATCCTGGGAGCAGTTAAGGCTGCCATGTGTCAGAATCCCCCAAGAACTACATAAGCATCCTCATCCCATTGCTCTAATTCCATGGGTCCCCGTGCAGCCCTACTTACTCCAGAGAATTCAGAAGTGAGCTATGGTCCTTAGGTACCCAAGTGGCATTGTCAGAAACCAGTGGCAGCAGCCCCTCAAGAGAAGAAGTTCATGGGACAGTCACAGTTAGGACTGAGTCAGTCTAAGATAAAAATGAAGGAAGAGTATATGGTCCAAGTAAAGGCTACAGGGAGGCCAGGTCTGAGGGTTGGGAATATGAAAATGGTGACAGAAAACTTTGGGAGGAGAGGCCTTCTTTTAAAAGCCTTATCTTCCTGTGAAATGAATATCAGGGTGAGCTGACTCATTAGGAGGCCAGGCCTGAAGGACAGCAACCAAGGATGAGGGCCTGCTTTCTCTACCCTGAGACACCTCCTTACACAATCTGGGCAGGAACTCGTGTAAAGGACAGGACAGAAGCATCATTTTCTAGAACAAAATTGGCTTTTTCTTCATGTGTACATGATGTCTGTACACATGTGGATGCACCTGTGTGTGGAGCCCAAAGGTTGAGGTCAAGTGTCTCCCTCTCACCTCTCACCTATCACTTATTTTTGAAACAGTCTCACTGAGCCTAGAGCTCACCAATTCAGCTAGTTAGAGAGGGATCCTCCTGTCTCCACCTCCCCCACACTGGGATTACAAACCTACAACACAGCACCCGACTTTCTATGTGAGCGCTGGAGATGTAAACTCAGGTCCTTATGTTAGAGCAGCAAGCACTTTACCCACTGAGTAATCTCCCCAGCCCCCAAGATCTACCTGGGTAAGATGGGAAAGTGATGGGGGGCAAAGTCAGGGAGTTAAGAGGAGGCACGACCCCTCTGCTCTCTGGAGTGTCCAGATAGAGAAACCAAACCAGACCTAGCAAGTCAAAAACGGACAGGTGAGCAGGACTATCATGGAGAAAGGGTTGGAAACAGGAAACCCAGGGTGGAAAACATCCTGAGATACAGTAAGACAGATTTTGATGGTGGGAGAAATCACACACTCATACTCTGTCACACGTATACACACTCACAAACACACATACACACCAGGCATGTGCTCATACAGCCGCCCTGAGACTTGCTGGAAATAATCCCTTTCGTTCGAGATGCCAGGGCCTCAGCTGCACAGGCGGTGCTGAGCTGCTACCTTGCACATCTGTCAGTTCCAAATGTAGAAGCTGTCAGAGGGTTGTGAGTGTGAGTGTGTGTGTGTCTGTGTCTGTGTCTGTGTTTGTGTGTGTCTGGGTTGGGGGAGGGGCTGGTCCTTTAGGGCATTAGGAGGCCTCAGCTGGCATAGGGAGATTCCCCACACACACACAAACACACACACCAGGCCCTTGGAGACTCTCTGGAAGTCCAAGCCCTAGGATACACGTCCATTCTTTCCCAGGCAGAGGCCCAAGGACGGCCCAGGGTTAGCAACTAGCTCACCTAGCCTCAGTTCCTTACAACCAGGTGGCTCTGGACAGTCACCTGGTGTCCTCATTCATGATGGTGGAATGTCAGGTAGGACAGAAGCCTTTGGCCTGATCTTGCCAGCCACTTGGAATGGCAGGTCTTTTTTTTTTTTTTTTCTTAAAATTATTATTGTGTATTGTGTGCGTGTATGATGTGGGGGGTGGGCCATGCATATGGAGGTCAGAGGACAGCTTTGTGGAGTCATTTCTTTCCTTCCACCTTTAAGTAGGTTCTAAGGATTGAACTCAGATCACCAGGCTTACATGGCTAATGCCTGAGTCATCTTGTTCCCCCTTACCCCCAGTCTGCTCACTAGAAGACTCTGTGTCCAGCTCTGACCTCTGGGGATGTACCCAGGCCCATCTGGGGCACCAAGGACACTGTCCTTCTCTGTCCTGTCCTCCAAGCTGCTTTCCTTGCTGGACCTAAGGATGAACCTCAGCCCTTGAAGCTGGGCTGCAGAAAGTCTGGGAACCTCAAACCTTGAGCCTCCAGGAACAGAACCCTGAAGTCAGATGTTTAGCCATCTCCTTTCAAAGTCCTTTGGGTGGAGCCCTGTACCTTTCTCTCCAGACAACCTTTCCAAGTTTTCACACCCAGATATTAGAACCTTCTTTGTCTTTGTCCTCTCTTGCTTTAAACGCATCATAGAATGATTTTATAGCAATGAAACACCCAGCAAGGAAAGCATCC